TTTCACTGATATTTACATCTTTACAGACTTGGCTATAATCAAACACAAATTTCCGGGTAGATTTCTTGTAAATATAACAAATAAAAGGGAGTTCAGTATTATCAAAATATCCAGGAATTTGTTCTTTAACAGAATGGTCGTTAAAAATACCGGCAATATTTACAAAATCAAAACCTTTATTGACATACTTTATTTTAATAAAATGTGTTTTATGATCTTCAGGGCGATCAATTTTGGGAAACAGTTTAGAATAACAATATGCCATTAGAAACATATTTGTTTCGTTTGATTTTTCTTCTATATTCGTAGAAAAAGGGTTGATTTAATTAATTTAATTAGTAAATGTTATTGCTGACAATTATAAAATGCTTCGTCTTCCTGAAAACAAAGTACTATTACACTTAACGATGTTCATATGTAACATGTAAATATGCAATTCAAATAAATTAAGAACTTGTTTGTTCGCTTGTATTGCATAAACACTTGTAACAGAATATTGCATTTCTAAATTTTTCTGAAAGATAGCCTCACATATCTTGAATAAGTTTATGTAAAGTATTGTATTGCTGAATTATATATTTATCCAATTAATTGCAATACTCATAGAAGAATACCCTAAAATAATACTGATTGAATAACAATGAGATGAAGAACAACGACCAAGAGTTATTGTTGTTTTCTCTCTTTTCTTCAATCACAAATTGATTAAAATTGTTATAGAGTTGTCTCTCTTTGCCTGTTGTTATTGTAATTCACAGATTAAAATACTACATGCTGTCTGTATACTATACTCAGTTGTGTAGAGGTTCCATCCTCTGTTATGCATTGATAACCTTTACCACTTATATACAAAAAACAATCATTCAAATAAACATACATTTATTACACCAACTTGTGTTTACATTTTCATGACTAGAATATACATTTGTACTTTGTGGCATTACTTTGGCTACAGAGTATTCTATAATATTTTGTTGAGACGCCAGGGTGACTACCGATTACCTATACACAATGGCTATCAGCTGACCTATGTTGACAAAGTGTCATAAAACCCCTGGTAGTTAAACATGGTTACACCACCACCTACCATGGGGAGTGACCGGGGAAAACACTTGTATTACCAATGCTCCAATTATTAGTGCCAGGTGTAGGCCTCCCCTCTAAAAGAGTAGACGGAGGAGGTCCCAGAGTTACCCATCTGTAGACCCCACCGTTACCACTAACCACATTTTCCAAACCTTCAAATTGTAGAACTTGTCATGCCCAGAGCAAGGGCCGAGTGAAATAATCCCCAATCACTACCAGTCTCCCTGGACCGCCACATGAGAGCCCAAGTCAGCTACCAAATGGTCTGACTTGGGTTCTCACCTCCACAAAATTTCAATTATTGAGGCATTGTGGAAAATTTGATTTTGTTGTGCTTAGAAAAGACTCATACACCCCCCCCCCCCCCCCCCCCCCGCCTTTTCTCCCCTTGTATATTGTTTAAGAAAACCTGATTTCCAGTTTGTGATAAATGAGTTCCATCTGTTCTGTATAAAGACACTTTCCTTGCCATAATGTTCTCATGTTAAAAAGCTTTCCCCCTGTTTTTAATTACAAAGTTTTTGACCACTGAATTAACTCTTTTCCTCTTCTGTTCCATTCTTGGACCAGCATTTAAGGGTGCAATATGCCAGTATCTGCGTTGTAGCATTGAAGACCAGTTTATTATAACACTTTTGAATAATGCCTGGTAACGAAGGATAGAACATTTTACATTTTCAAATAAACCCTTCCCTGTCAATTCTAAATCTGTCAAATCATTAGCTCAACAGTGAATAATCATGAAATAAGGAAAGGCAAAAATTTCTTTTTCGCATCCAATAGGGAGTCCAAATCTTTTAACTGTAAACCAGGTTGACCAATCCAGTATGTTGTGACTCCTTTGGACTCCAGTCCAAGGTTGGTCCTACCATATTTCTTTGCATCTACATTGGCCTAGACGTGTATGCCAGCAGAAACTGGAGTGAGGATTGGCATTAAAGGATTTAAACAAGTCATGGTAGCTGTATGTATCGGTTATAAAAATTATATTGGTTATGTTGTGCCAGACTGACAGTTACTTGTATCGCAACGCTGATTCAGCTTACTATACGCCACCGTACTAAGTGTTTCGTAGTTTAACGGTACTGCATGCAAGATAAAGAAAGTGCACCAATAACGGCAGTTATAATGTAACGAGAGATATATAAACTGTATACAACATCACCGTCGAACTGTCGTATAACATTGATATTTAATGAATAATCAATCGTATTCTGTAACAAAATGCCATTTGCGCTAACATTACTTTCTTCTTGTTTGAAAGTTCAAACACATAGCTTTTACAATCCGAATTGAGTATGGAAGATAAGAGTAGCACGTGTCAGCTGTAACGACCAACGAAAAATAACAATAAATGCACTAGTATATGTCTTAAAAAATAATGAACAATTTGGTATGATTACAATATGCATTTAATATTCGAATTACAAAAGAAATCTACGTCTTGTTTTCCTTTGTCATTAATCCGGATTTAACGAGATATTTTCATGCCATGTTACCTTTTCTATAGTTTCAGTACTACAATCCAACCCGCCGCCAAGGATACACGGACAGTTCCGGTATGACTTTATATTACACACCAAAGCTCAGGAAGTTTGATGCAGGAGTTTCACCTTTGGAAGTGACACATTTTTCAGTTCCACCCGGACGTGAATCGTATGAAGTAGTGAGCGCATGCCCAGGAGATTGCACTGTTTTGCAGGTTGCATCTCCAATCTACATTATACTTGGTATGAATCATATGCACAGGCTAGGTAAGTGTTATGCAAATCTTTAAAAAGACTTAGCAGTAATGTTTGACAAACTAAAAACATGTTTATGACTAATTATATGACAATATGTAACAAACTACAAACCACTTGAACTCACAAAAAATGTGAATGATCTCAGGTGCTCTAAACGGGTAAGAAGATCCTTGTTCATGTGTGGTACCCGTCGTTTTGCTCTTATGAGTAAAAATTGAATGATAAATCTCAATCGGGGATGTCACATTCAAGGAAAAGGAGACGGGATTGTGGTATTAAATAATAAAATAAGTATTTCGGAGAGGAATTGAGCTAAATCTGTTAACCACCACGCTTTGATACTACATGCATCGCATTTAATTCAGATGTGTACGATTTAAAAATTCCTCGTTGTGTGAAATGTAGTAGATTTTATCCCCGATCAAGCGAAACCAGATTTAACAGGTATTTACTGCTCTTCCGCTGAACAAACATCTTTTAAGAATTAAAAGCAAAGAAGTAAGAAACTATTTGTCCAGGTTTTATAACATGCCTTTCCTGTCGGCTTTTACTTTGTAATCTAGCGCCTTAAAAAAGAAACTTCGTGGCTGTCTTCTTAAAAGCAGTTTTTATATTAATATTTAATTTACATGTTTTCGTTTTGAAAATGCGAAAATAAGCCTTATAAGGTCAACTTCAGTGGTAAGATAATGTAGAAAATAGTTCATATCTAATATACCTGTTATCAACACAAAACCAAAAACGTCCACATATGTATACATAGAAGTGATACATTGCAATGCACCTTGCATTGTTTAGTAAACTTGTATTAATATTTTTTTAAAATGTTTTTAGGTAGGAAACAAAGAATAGAGATCCATAGAGGTGTTAAACTACAACAGATTGTCACAAATGATACTAATTATAAAGTTGTTCATCCACATTATTTTTGGTAAGCTATTTGTTCTTTAGAAATCTATTGTACAACTGTTTCTGTATTAAGCCGACCGTATATAAAAATGTTATATCTTTTGACAATATACCATATGAATGATATTTAATTCTGTCCCAGGATGTTTGCAAAAAGAAAATCAAAATTGCAGTATTTTCACCAGTTAAATTTTCGTCAAGACATAGGTTCTTAAAGATCAAAATTAAGAAAAGAAATATGATAGGCCTGAGCTCTTAATTATTTCTACAATAGATGCATTTGAGAAAAACATGATAATACTTTCGGGAACAGTCGTCTCTTGATTTTCATAGGCTATTCACATAGGTTTTGATAGTTTATGGAAACATACCATAGTCGATGAATTGTTTCCAAAATCTGATACTCAACATCTACTTTTATTACTAAGAAGCTCAAAACTACCCCACGCAAAGTTGGTATGATTATTCATTTGGGTCCGTTTTGGTCGTATAGCTCATAACTTTTTTATGTATTTATACATCTTTGGTTTTCAGATGTTTGGGTTTGAGCCTACCTAATTTTCATTTTATTTTACTTTTGACCTTTTTACCAGGTATAAACAACCAATACAATTATTGCCAGGAGACATGTTGAAAATGACCTGTGAATACAGTTCTACTTCAGAAAATAATACTTTAGAGTGGGATGTGTCATGGCGAGGAGAAATGTGTAAAGGTTTACTTTTGTACTATCCCAAACAAAGTTGGCCCCATAACAAAAAAATATGGAAAACGATGATAAGACAAACAACAACCAACAAACAACACTCATTCGATGATTTCACATTTGACGAAAAGAGAACGTGGTTATGACCACAACTGCAACATATCCATAGTTGTCTGTAACTCCGATTTAGTTAACGGTGGACAAAATCATAAAAGCCTCCATAAACCTTTGAAAGGTTTGACGACCTCAACTTAACCACTACATGTACTATGTACTCTTGAGTTATGGATTACGGCTTAAGCTATTTAGAAAATTTCCCAGGAAAGTATTAACAATGTTCAGAGCATTATTTCAAAAGTGTCTATATATCTGAACTAGTAGAGGGACAGGAAATTTAAAGTCGTCAATATCGATTGCATCATTGGGATTGATATTTGAAATTTATGTTGAAATAGGTGAGGTTTATGTTTAAGATGTGACATGCAGACATATATCGTTAAAGTGAAGAGGTGTTTTCGATTGAAACGATGTTTGTTTAGTAATATAGCCTTGAAAAATTGCATTTGTTCATTTATTGGCTACCTGTCATAGTTGAAATGACATAACGGATTTCAACTGAAGTTCAATACAAGAATAACAAATTCACTTATCATCAATTTGCAAGAAGTTTTTTCGAATATCCATGTAGCAAAATGCAAGCAAACCAAGAAGAGCTGCACCAGGTCCTAAAGTACTGGCAACCATCGTCACCGCAGCCCCACCACCAAGCTTAAGAAGGGCTTCCTTGGTATTTCTGTAGATTTGTGTTCTTTTTCGATCAGTTCCATACACATGTGTAGTGTTATGATTACAGACATTTATTATCAAATGTTCAGTTCCATCTCCGAGTCTGAACTTATATAATTCATCATATAATCCCCCAGTGACGTAAACTGATATTGTTACATCGGTCTCACCATCAATATAGTCGTGAATACGTTGTCTTAAATCCTGCAATTGCTCTTTACATTCTGTGGTTAAATGAAGGTTATCTCGTAAAATAAAATCCGGAATAGACGATGAATTGGTTACTTGAGTAAAGGCTTGCTTCTATAAAATATTAGAAAAAAAACGTTGTTACTCTTTAAGTTAATCTCATTAGCCTTTTCATGCTATATAAGGGAATTATAATGATAAATTTAAAAAAAGTAGTAATGTTACAAACACATTCAACAAAAAAAAAAATAAAGAATAAGATAAACGAAACAACACCAATTTATAAATGATGAAAGAAATATTTGACTAGGAATCCAGTAAATATGACCGAGAAAAAACACATAACCGGCTTTTTGATTTATATCAACGGAATAGAAGAGGGCACAGAGATGAAAAAACAATATCAATACGTGTAAATATTATAATCATTTCTACATTAATGTCGAATAGTTATCAAAATACACGGAAAGAATTAGAAAAATTGTGAATCCTGATAAGGTTAAAGTTAATAATTTGCTACTACAGAAATAATACTGTGTCATACTACAACAGAGGGGATCCCTAATGTGACATTTTTTACTTAGGGATCATATAGTAAAATTAAGACCTTTTCAATAGATTAATTTGAAGAATTAGCAGATTAGGAGATGTAAGCCCTGAAACAGAACCCAAAAATGATTTCAAATATTTGTATCAATTCTTGTTCTTGTTCTAAAGAATATTATGCATGGTTTTCCGACATTCTTCTCGTGACGCACGAATAATTTTATTTCATAGAAAGTACATTCCTGCTGTAAAAGCCAGTCGCTCAATTACTGTAACAAGTGATAAATATGTTTTATAACAGTTACAAACTACAAATGCATGTTTATTATATATAGTCATGCAACTGCAATAGGTTTTGCTTTGATTTTTAATTTTGATTTGCATTCTAGTATTGGAATTCATTTATGAGAAAATTAGACTTAAGGTAGAAATTTAGCAAACTTGATAAAGAAAATGATCGGCTTTGTGTTGACCGCTAACAATCGCAGCTTCACTTAAAAACAATTTGCAATAAGTCGCATAGGACAAAAGCGAAAGAGTAATGGACAGTGCTTGACAATTCCGTTAGTAAGTGTAAATGCATTTTTAAGTATAACTTTTGAAAATACTCATATTTTTTTCAATATACCAAATTTAGTTTTCTAAACGTCCCATCTAACCATACACTTTCTTGAATTTAAGTTGTATATCAAAGGTCGTGGCAAATACTGTTGATCAATAAATATCTAACAAAAAAGGGAAATCAGTGATATCCGAATCACAATAACCATAAATAAACATACACCAGACATAACTACTCCAGGTTTAAACAATGTCAATTTCAGTTGACTTTTAAAAGGTCATATGCCTATCCAACCTAATGAAAAAAGACCACATGGTTTAATCATACACCAGTATGATGTTGTAGCAAAGGTCAACATCTACATCGTCTAATTGACCTTTGACATTGACCCGAATTTCAAAGTCATTGGTTTTGGATCTAAAATCGGAAAACACCAGATCTTTCAAAGTATGGTTGAAAAGTTATACTGGTTTCAAATATTTAAGAGAAAAAACTGTTACAAAAAGTCCAGAAAGCACTTCGACTCAATTGTATTCAAGTCAAAACTCAAAACCAATGACTTGTGAAAACCTTATATTGCTAACTGTTACAGTGTCTGAGCTATACTGATATCAAAAAATGTTCAAAGTTTATAACAATTCTTGACTAATGACTTTGACCTCAGTTTCCTTATAGACAGATGACTACATATAACATATTCTAGTTCTCTATTACTTAAAGGTTATGAATTCAATCCAAATATCACTTGATATTAGATGTTATTGGACCTCTTAGGTCAAAATTGACAATTGATAAGCCAAATGCATAAAAGTATTATATAACACACTGACAGTATTTTTAATGTAATGATATGATACACATATCATGCCAGAACATAACCACCTGCTACAGGGGAAATTTTCCTCGGGAAATTTCAGTTGACCAGCTGATAAATATAAGATTTACAACATATGAAAAATAATTCTTAAATGTTATTTATATACGTTAATCAGGAAGCTGTAAAACACAGATAACTTGAAGAGTTTTTTATTATCAAATCTATTTACAAAACTTGTCATTTAAAGAACCTTGCAACAAAACACTTGTCAGTTGTCAATCTTTACATTATTGTCCAATTCGACAGCTAACAGGCTGCGGATGAAATTACAAAACTGTGGAAGGTACTTATGGAGAACAAAACACATACCAGCAAACACAGCAAATGTCAATATATGTACGTTTTTGGGTTTGGATATGACGCTGTTGATCCTCCGAATATTGCGTTTCAAGCTAGTGAATTTGCTGATGTTAAGCTGTATAATCGTAGGCTCTCTATTTGTCATGTTCACAAGAAATTCATTAGTTCCATTCCCACTCTTAAATGTGAAAGAATTAGATTCATTGTCGTAAACATTTACTGTTGCATTTTCCCATATATCGGATTGATCATTGTGTTGAACGTAATCAATTAATGCTTGTAAAAGTTTTCTTAACTGGTCTTTCGTTTTATCTACATCAACTCCTTCGTTGCCGATGAACTTGATAATGGCTTTTGCGATTGTTCGTTTGTTAATGACGGGCACTTGTATTTTCTCATCAAAGAATTCCTTACGCACTGCTTTCACCATATTTACTTCGCCATTTTCCAAATAAAGTACCCAGCTATCACTTCTTTTGCCACTGAAGATGCAGAACACTTTACGTCTATCTGATATTATTGAAATTTCCGTATTTTCCCAATCATTTTCGACTTTATTTTCACGTATTTCTTTCAAAAGAACATTAGTAAATTGAGGAGCCAAAGAAGGGTCGAAGATATTTTCAAACTTGTAAGATATCTTTTGGATTGCATTTTCGTCTATAACGGCTACATGCTCTTCGAGGATATTCTAAATCAGAAAAATGTTGATGTTTAGTTTTTTTGTACAAGTGATAGTTAATTATTTATTTTCTAACAAAAAGAGTAAACTTAATGGGCATATATGTTTTACGTATATAAGGCTCAAATCTATACCCAATCTCAAATCTATGTCCTTTCCTCAAATATGTGTTCTATCTTATATTGAGTCATAGCCGTTACAAATGCTGTCTTTTCTTCCCTGAAGTACGTGTCCATTTCATGTACTGTGTTTTTTATCGCATCACAATCATCTTGACTTCAGCATTATCAATATGTCGTCTAGTTAAAAGATCTGAAGAAAATGCCACCCGTAAAAAGGAGCAATAGTCAATGTATTTTTGTGGACTGTTTTCCTCTAGAATTTTACAGAGACAACAGGAAATAATATACAAATATCTAAATGCGGACGTGGCAGAAGTCATTTAGATTTTTAAGAAACGACATTTATCACTAACAAAGCGAAGATTGCTTAACGTATAATGATAAATATTTCATGCACATCTAGGACGGGACAAGGAGCTTGAAATATGTAAAAATATGTAACGACTAGACATAGATTTGAGAAAAGGACAAACATTTTAAGCCGTATTTTTTAAATGGACGTATATTTGCGAATGACTTAACGATTGAACATATATTTGAGAAAATGACACAGATGTGAATCCGTACACGGATTTGAGGCTTATATATATACTAAACCCACGGTTTTTGATTGGGTCCATATTGCACACTCTTTAATTTTCTATGTTTTGCTTTGAAACCTTTTGATTTGTCGTTTTGCTCTTTTTTATCATGGCCATATTGCCAATTCGAAATCGACCTATGCATTCATATATTTCTTTGGTATCTCCTGTCTCTCTCTTTAAACATTTTCTACAACGTGAACTCGTAGGTTTCCATAATGACATTGAGAACAACATTGATCACGACTACATGTAAACGAAAGTTATTCATCCTTTATATCTGTTTTGATTGGTCGGCAACTTCTTAATTGAAGCATTAGGTATAAATAGTTTTTATGCCTATGCATGCAGTCATTACCTTTTTAAAAGTTTACTTTATAGCTGGCATTTCCACTGTTGTTCAAATTATTATATTTGGAGCAGACAAACAAAAATCCTCGTCGGCAGTATACCGGAGCAATAGCTCCGTTTATCTAAGTTTGCTCTAGTTCTATAGAAATATCTGATTCAGACCCGACTTATTAACTGGCTGTATTTGAACGGGATATGAGAATGCCAGCACCTACTACATATAAGAACAGGTTTTCCTTTGACCGGTTATGAAAAAGGTCAGCTTTTTACAGTTAATAGTGATCAGCACTGTAATGGGCAGCCTAAGTCGTGTTGTTAAGTAACGGTTGTCTAATTTTCATTGTCGAAATATGAAGAAAAAAGTATCATAGAGAATGGACACTACGTCAACTATGTTAAATACAGTTGTAAATGTTATCCCTTGCAATTAATTGAAGAAATAAATAATATAAGTTATTTTGCTAATTTATTTCATGTAGTTGTTTTTTTTTAAAACGTTTTGGCAATATCCGTGTTCATCGTGTACGTTCGGTACATGCTATTAATTATGAAGAAACAAATATTTCTGCCTTTAATAATACCACGCAGCATACATTTTGAAGTACAGTCCATTCTCAGTTACCACATAAACAGGTTTCATCTTAATAAAACATAAGCAATTTTAGCACCCTAACTTTAAGCTAGCAAATTATTTACGAACAGTATAAAAATACTATTCTTATTATGCAGAAACATCTTTCATAAAACTCAAACTACTGATTTAAATTAAAACAAACACAAGAAATGCTGGTACTCTCAACTGAGAACAGACAACAAATGTAGTAATATGTATATCAATTAACCAATAGTGCTTTCATTCATATCATACATTCCGTCGTAAGTTTTTAAATGTGGTGTACTAGTTTGTAACATATTTTGGCCCTGAGCATTGCTGAAAGGAACATACCTGTAGAAATGTGAATCTATTGGTACCATTAACATCAATTAAAGATACAGCATGAATTTTAAAATTCCCCAATATATTTATTAATTGTACGAACCTCGGACATTTCAGGGATGTTACAATAAATCATGAATATAAGGAGTAGTTTTTTACTATTAGTTTTTTTAGTGGTAGTTGAGAACTCTAAAGAACGATGTTTTTCTGATAACGAAAAAAGATAAGAAATACTGTTAAACAGATTCTTATCAAAGTGGTACAAATGCTATGTTCGAAACTATTTTAGACTTGATTCTGCAAAAGAAATTTTGATTATCACATGTGTTGTGTTGTGCCTGAACATTAATTGTACAAATTTGCTAAACTTTTATTAAAACCATACTTTAAAATACAAGTATATGGTCTATGAAGAAAAAACTTTTAGTAAACATTAGATTCACGTTCAACACAATAATAGAACTTTTTGTCTATCAATGTGGATATAACAATTTGAAAAGTGTTTTTAAAATTAGTTAACGTGCTAAATATCTTATCAGAGTTTAAATTCATACACAATGATTACTTGGAACATATACTTTTGGAAGGCTATATGTTCCAAGTAATTCTAGGTTGAAAAAAAATAGGATACTAATTTAAAAACTATGCAATTGAGGAAATAGTTATCTTGTTACTGACTATCTAGTCAGGGGACAATTTTGGATCAAACAGATATGCATTTAAACAAAAGAGTAAAAACTTCTAAACGAAAATTATTCAATTTTAGCTGTGTCTCTTACTTGAAAAAATTAACATGATATAAACGAGACAATTACGAGGTGAATATATGAGATTTTAATAGGAATCAGCTACTGTTGCCTTTAATATACAACCAACATGAGAAGTACTCAGCGGCGAAGGGATCAAAGTAGTTAAATACACTATCACTTGCATATTAACACTGAATTTGTAAGTTCGAAACTTGCACTTAAAGGGTGCGTTTTTCAGACTTAATTGTCAGTTTTAATACCGAAGGTTAATGTTTCTCTCCGGCTTTCGCCGCCGCCAAAATAAAAAAAAAACTGACCATCACAAGATATTAAATAGTGCTGAAAATCAATCAATCAATCAACAAAAACATGTATCAATTATTAATTGCACCTGTTCCCCAGCGATCGCTACTGTACTGTAGGTATTTTGTTTTGTTTTGTGTTTGTTTGTACATGTTGTAGTTTTGTTTTGACTTTGTGAGCCTTCTTCAAAAATGTTATAATATGTAAACTTTTAAAACTGTTAACAATTAACAGTCGTTATGGAAATTGAGGCGACAGTAGTTAAATGATATTCAAATAGTTTTTGGCAGCTCAGATATTTAGGTAAATATAGATTCTGCCACTCGAGACCGTTAAATTTTCAAATTTAAAACGCGAGGCTCGTCTTTTCGAACGACATGCAAAAAATTTGTGTTCTTTCTACGTGTCATCATCAGGCATGGTTGCCTTTTTTGGTGACGTCACAATAGGATTTTCTGAGAAAAGTAAGAAAATCTGACGTCATAATCGAATTTTAACCAATGGAGAACTGAGATTAAACGAACCACACGTTGATTAAATAAAATGTCAACAGGTCAGGAAAAGGATAAATCGAGTAAGAATTAGAAAAAACTAATGTATCTTTCTTTTGTACACAAAATAATAAATTTGACCAACGGAACTCGTTTTTTTTTGGTTTTGTTTTCCACATATCGACCCCATGAAATATAAAACAAAAGTGAACAATTTGAAAAATATATTTGAAGGTCATGCTAACACCACCACATATGATCTATGTAAACCATTATATCTTTCAAAATGTTGAATAGAATATGTTTATTGTAAAAAGTCGCTTGACATTAAAAAGCTGATGGAAATCAAATACACCGTTGATTATAATGCTATTTAATACTGTTTGGTATTTCAACATTCTAAATTTCGTCTGATATGTCTGATCTATAATCGAAATACAAAAAAAACGAATTAACTAGTTTTATAATAAATCTTAATTAATTTAGTTTGATTATTGTTATTACTACAATTATTATTCGATTTATCACTCTCGTTATTCCTACTATCATTATTAAAATTATCATTATCATAATTTCTATAATCATTCTTTTGCGTATTCCGTTTATTTAAAATGACGAGAAAGACAAAAAAAGAAACCTTTTTTCTTGTCCCTTCACAATCATATTCTTCTTGTATATAACATATTTTGTTTTACATGTCAATTGCTGATTATATACAACGAAGCTTATAAAAATATGAAAAGATTTAAATGATAATATTCTATTTTTGCACGTTCATTTAAGGATACTTTCATCAAATCAAATCAATTCTGATTTTTTTATTTTTTTAGTCTGTTGTGTTATATGTCTGTGATGTGTGTTTACACAGTATTTGCTGTTGAATCCTAATTATTGTTACGCATTTAACATTTTATGTCTGTTAGGTGGCTCGGTTCTTTCCATTTAACACAAATATAAACACCTGTCATACAGGTGTGAGATTAAGCTAATTAGAAACCAGGTTTAACCAAAATTGTCTTTGGAAAAACCTGCGTTATATTTTTCTCAGATTTTATTGAGTTTTCTCTGTTTGAACTTATTTTGGTTTTTGTATATACAAACGGCCAGAATTAAATTTATGCCAAGGAAAATCATAAACAGAACATTACATAAATAAATATATATGTAAACGAATAAAATAATAATAATAATAATAATAATAATAATAATAATAATAATAATAATTGAAAACTATCAATTGCAGATTTCCCATGTATGTTTAAGCAAATTTATCTTCTGTTTTATTAAATAATTAGGTGAAAAACGTTTCTAAACCGATATTTAATTAATCTAAATACAAACTACTCACTTGTTGCTTTGTCTGTATAGGGAAATTACTAGAGATAAATACCTTAATTATATAAACATCACCAATCACCATCATTCAAATAGTTTAGTGTAAACTGAATGGGGCTCGTAAAATGTCATTGTATCATGTAATGTTTTGTTGGAAAACAATTGAAGGAATGATACTTGGTCGAATAACTTCCACATTATGCAAGGTTGATATAATTTAAATTCTAGAGATATTTAATCCCATTACCACGAAAAAATACGATCTAGCATATCAACACTTAAAAACAACCGATATAAACCGAATAGATTACCACTTTTAAACTTTTAGAAAAACAAACATTTTTTATGGGCTTCCTACTAACAATATTTTGGTGAGCATTGATATAAGTTGCTGACCGATGAAAAACAACCATAATATATCAAACAAATTGAATTACCTGCTTTCATTATTATGATGATTATGATGTATATTTTTGATACATATGAACATAGAAATAAATGCATGTTGATGTTAAAACTTGCTTAAATAAACACTTAATGCACAAATATCATTCATAAAATTATCAGTTGTCCGATCGGAAATGGGTTTAAAATTTCTTTCTTGAAATATTGAAAAGGATACAACCCGAACATCGCTTAGTGAAATAATAAGCAAAAGCGTTTATTAATCATGAGAGTAAAATAAAAATAGTATTACAAAATTACCGAACTCCATTGTATATTCAAAAGGAACAAATTATAACATGTTTTTTCAAGTAAGTTCCATATAAAAAATATGTCAATCAAAAAAAATAATACTTAGGTATATTTTACTTTCTATGTATAAACATCTGTTATAGGTAAATAAAAATAAGTGCATGCGTCCGAAACGCTTTTCAGGATTTACCTTAATCAGGAACTCTCAAAGCCGAATATTTAAAAACCGATAATGTATAAGAACCGAAACAGATGAAGAGCCATATGCAAAAAAAAAAAAACATAATAAAAATAGCCAAATCAATCTAAGGTCAATTTTGCCTGAGCGAGTTGAAACCTTCAATGCTTTAATACATATAACAATTGAAACAGTAAATACAATGAAATGAAGATACAAATAAGTTTTACTTCCGAAAACTCCAACGAAATGCATTTGTTGCTCCCATTATACTGCTTTTAAGCAGTGTAAGGTATTAACTTGAGGTATATTTGAATACAAGAAATGAGTTTTTGGTATGAACACTCATTTAAGCTCAATTTTGAAAGTTGTGAAAAAGCGCTTTTTCATTAGCTCTTCCTAGAAATATACTGCAACTCAATATTCGTCGAGTTTCCCTCATGAAATATTTTTTTTTAAATAATGATAACATGCTTTCGATAAAAAGATAGACAAATAGGTCATGACATAGTCATATTAAAAGGAGTGTGTTCAGTATGGGTCATATTTGGTTCCGAAGATTAAATTCATTGTTTCAAGATAAAAAGACACTTCAGAAAGTTACATCAAACTTTTTTTGAACAGCTTTTCTGATGAATGGTTAAAAGTTAAAACCCAAAAAGGCAATCAGTAGGGATTTTGATAAAATTTAACAGAAACATTTGGATTCAGACAAAGTTAGGCCAAGGATTTTTTGTCGACGCATGCGCTTTTTGTCAATGTACAACATGTACTTGTTTTCATCGATTTTTTTTGGAATATCAAAATATGTGGTGTTTGTGAGGTCATGAAAAGAACTTCAATACATTGATATAGACAAATTTCTTTTCTAGTCATTATTTTTACTATGATTCATTGTGATGTTGGTCAATACTTCTTCATATTGAATTTTAGTTAAAACTAGTGGCACTTTTAGGGTCTTATCGCACCTACTCCTTATGTAATCTGTGAATTTATTTATTTTTGTAGGTACCAATTGTCATAGATTTTCATTAATATTTCATTTCGTACTTTTGATAAAGTCTGCATATAATGCTATCGAATATTTGTAATGTTTTGTTCATTTGAATCTATGATTCATATGTAACCATAAAATCTACAAAAATTGGTATGCCACAAATTGTAATCAATTCACAGCAATTATAATCCCTCTTTAAAACTCAATAAATCTTACCTGCATTGTATGTTGTTTATTTTACAGTCCAATGTTAAATGATAGCGGACGATTCGCAAATGTTCCTTAAATACAAATAGAAATTAAATGATATGTCTTTTAAAATTGCATTGGTGTGTATCGTTTTTACCTGGGCGGGATTAGATAATTATTGACAGCGTTTTTTTCTATGTTTAAATTCACAATTTCTTTATTATACAGACTTTAATTTTTTATCAAAACTAAAAGTTTAAACTATGCCTTGGCCATTATATTCCTTATTGAAAAAAAAAAAAAAAAAAATCAAGGCATACGTTATGAATTTCATGAGTCAGTAAGTTATTAAACAGCCTCTTCTAGTTCCCGAAAATGAAGTTGTTTTTATTGCTTGCTATTTCTTTATTCGACAGATTGGTTAAGCCGATAGATGGGTTTTTCAATAGACATCTAGTATTTTTATTGAATCAAAATTTTAGTTTTTGAGATATATTTGTTTTATTTGTTATTGGCATAAGCTAGTTTTAAGTATCCGTGAATATTCTGAGATCTGTACTGTCTTTTGTGTATTTTGTAATTTTTTTTGTGCTTTGTATCGGTCAAATAAGTTAATCTCTTTACATATAAATTTATTAGTTTGTTCTGATTTTGTGCTGTTACACCGCTGTCCCACATCAGAGGAAGAGTTTGGTTTCATCAAACATTTTCATCACCGACATTTCCTGTATGCCGCACCTTCCAGTATGTCTATAGAATTGTTTGTGTTCTGAAAGGGGTAGTCGACATATCAGTGAAACAATTTATGTAGCCTTGAATCCTGAAAATTATCATGCATAGAGCTGAAAACAATTTAAACAATAACAATAAACAACACGATCTACAAACCGAGACATGATTACAATGATCTATGGACTCTTTATATAAGTTATCATCCATAAATAATCTGTATAATAGATAAAAAGAATATATCAGCATCAAAATAATCAACTAGACAAAGTAAACAAATTAGACAGTTTGTAATATTTCTAAGGGTTTCTTTCTATTGTTTTATTTAATTTAACAGTAACTGATTAGTTTGTTTGATTATTAAGAATTCAGGTTTGTTTGCTTTGATTTTAAAACGCTGAGACAGTTTGACAAATTGCACTTTTGTGGTATCTTCGAGAAATTCAGCTTTATCAATATCTATTACGACAACTTACTTGATCTCAAAATTATGTAGCTTTCTGCTAAACGCATTACGTTTTTGTTTATCGGATATCATACATAGTGCTGTGTAATGATGATTTATGAAAAGACAGAAAAACGATAAGTATACTGTAGATTAAATAAAGTTTGACCGCAATATTTAAATGAAATGTGGATTTATAAACATGTTATGTGTATATTACTAGTTAAAACGTCTACACAGTGTCCTATTTTCATTTTTTAAAGGTAGCAACTTAAACAAAAATTATTATTTTTATTATTTCAATGTATCTAGCAAAAAGAATTTACACTTTAAATTATTCTGGTTGATTGAAAACGGCATTTCAACGGTATTGTGTCCAAATAATGCAACTGACTATTAGTCATTTTGGTAAAATATTTCACTTTGTAATCGTATACGTAATATAAACAAATGAATGCGTTCATATAAAGAGTGATCATGACAATGACTAAACATACATGTTCAAAGGCGTTGAAAGGAAATATGTAGATTTTAAGATGATGTGTCATGCTATAAAGACACCATTGAATATTGGTGTTTTGGGATACCTTTAAATGTTCTACGTGATTTTTCTAATACCTAATATTTACACTCGGTAACATAGTAACATAGTAACATACCATAACCATTCAGCCTATAAAGTGATGAGTGTAATTTCTTTATACGATTTCTTTAGAAAAGTTAGATTTACATTTCAATCAATTTTAATATTCGATATGATAACTGCTGTGAACAAGCTTATCCCTTCAATTTTCTATGTCTTACGTAATACAAATAGAACAAAGGCTTTCTTTACACAAAATATATAAGAACCGAAACAGTTGAAGAGCTACATGACAATCCAACCCTAAAAATAGCCAAATCAATCTAAGGTCAATTTTGCCTGAGCGAGTTGAAACCTTCAATGCTTTAATACATATAACAATTGAAACAGTAAATACAATGAAATGAAGATACAAATAAGTTTTACTTCCGAAAACTCCAACGAAATGCATTTGTTGCTCCCATTATACTGCTTTTAAGCAGTGTAAGGTATTAACTTGAGGTATATTTGAATACAAGAAATGAGTTTTTGGTATGAACACTCATTTAAGCTCAATTTTGAAAGTTGTGAAAAAGCGCTTTCTCATTAGCTCTTCCTAGAAATATACTGCAACTCAATATTCGTCGTGTTTCCCTCATGAAATATTTTTTTTTAAATAATGATAACATGCTTTCGATATAAAGATAGACAAATAGGTCATGAATGAGTCATATTAAAAGGAGTGTGTTCAGTATGGGTCATATTTGGTTCCAAAGATTAAATTCATTGTTTCAAGTTAAAAAGACACGTCAGAAAGTTACATCAAACTTCTTTTGACCAGCATTTCTGATGAATGGTTAAAAGTTAGAACCCCAAAAGGCAATCAGTAGTGATTTTGATAAAATTTTTACAGAACCATTTGGATTCAGACATAGTTAGACCTAGGATTTTTTGTCGACGCATGCGCTTTTTGTCAATTTACAACATGTACTTGTTTTCATTGATTTGTTTTGGAATATCAAAATATGTGGTGTTTGTGAGGTCATGAAAAGAACTTTAATACATTGATTTAGACAAATTTCTTTTCTAGTCATTATTTTTACTATGATTCATTGTGATGTTGGTCAATACTTCTTTATATTGAATTTTAGTCAAAACTAGTGGCACTTTTAGGGTTTTATCGCACCTACTCCTTATGTAATCTGTGAATTCATTTATTTTTGTAGGTACCAATTGTCATGGATTTTCATTAGTATTTCATTTCGCAGTTTTGATAAAAAATCTGCATATAATGATAAAAATAACAATAGATAAAAAAGAATATATCAACATCAAAATGATCAACTAGACAAAATTAACAAATAAGACAGTTTGTAATATTTCTAAGGGTTTCTTTCTATTGTTTTATTTAATTTAACCGTAACTGATTAGTTTGTTTGATTATTAAGAATTCACGTTTGTTTGCTTTGATTTTTAAACGCTGAGATAGTTTGAAAAAATGCACTTTTGTGGTATTTTTGAGAAATTAAGCTTTATCAATATCTGTTTCACGAAAACTTACTTGATCCCCAAACTATGTAGCTTTCTGCTAAACGCATTACGTTTTTCTTCATCGGATATCATATATAGTGCTGTGTAATGGTGATTTATGAAAAGACAGAATTGCGATAAGTATACTGTAGATTCAATAAAGTTTGACCGCAATATTTAGATGAAACGTGGATTTATAAACATGTTATGCGTATATCACTAGTTAAAAAGTCTACACAGTGTCCTATTTGCAATTTTTAAAGGTAGCATCTTAAACAAATATTATTATTTTTATTATCTCAATGTATCTAGCAAAGAGAATTTACACTTTAAATTATTCTGGTTGATTGAAAACGGCATTTCAACGGAATTGTGTCCAAATAATGCAACTGACTATTAGTCATTTTGGTAAAATATTCTACTTATATTTTAAATTCGTAATCGTAATATAAACAAATGAATGCGTTCATATAAAGAGTGATCATGACAATGACTAAACATACATGTTCAAAGGCGTTGAATGGAAAATATGTTGATTTTAAGAATATGTCATGCTATAAAGACATCATTGAATATTGGTGTTTTGGGATACCTTTAAATTTTCAACGTGATTTTTCTAATACCTAATATTTACACTCGGTAACATAGCAACATAGCAACATACCATAACCATTATACTGCTTTTAACCATTCGGCCTATCAAGTGATGAGTAAAATATCTTTACACGATTTCTTTAGAAAGGTTAGATTTACATTTCAATCAATTTTAATATTCGATATGATAACTGCTGTAAACAAGCTTTTCCCTTCAATTTTCTATGTCTTACGTAATACAAATATAACTAACGCTTTCTTTACACAAAATATATAAGAACCTAAACAGTTGAAGAGCTACATGACAATAAACCCCTTAAAATAGCCAAATCAATCTAAGGTCAATTTTGCCTGAGCGAGTTGAAACCTTCAATGCTTTAATACATATAACAATTGAAACAATAGATACAATGAAATGAATATACAAATAAATTTTCCTTAGAAAACTCCAACAAAATGCATGTGTTGCACCCATTATACTGCTTTTAAACAGTGTAAGGTATTAACTTGAGGTATATTTGAATACAAGAAACTAATTTTTGATATGAACACTCATTTAAGCTCAATTTTGTAAGTTGTGAAAAAGTGCTTTCTCATTAGCTCTTCCTAGAAATATACTGCAACTCAATATTCGTCGTGTTTCCCTCATTAAATATTTTTTTTAAATAATGATAATATGCTTTCGATAAAAAGATATACAAATAGGTCATGAATGCGTCGTATTAAAAGGAGTGTGTTCAGTAAGGGTATATTTGGTTCCGAAGATGAAATTCATTGTTTCAATTTAAAAAGACACGTCAGAAAGTTACATCAAACTTCATTTGAACAGCTTTTCTGATGAATGGTTAAAGGTTAGAACCCAAAGAGGCAATCAGAAGGGATTTTGATAAAATTTAACAGACACTCCGGATAGAGACAAAGTGAGAACAAGGATTTTTTGTCGACGCATGCGCTTTTTGTCAATGTACAACATGTATTTGTATTCATTGATTTTTTGTGGAATATCAAAATATGTGGTGTTTGTGAGGTCATGAAAAGAACTTTAATACATTGATTTAGACAAATTTCTTTTTTAGTCATTATTTTTACCATGATGCATTGTGATGTTGGTCAATACATCTTTATATTGAATTTTAGTTAAAACTAGGGGCACTTTTTTTAGGGTCTTATCGCACCTACTCATTATGTAATCTATGAATTCATTTATTTTTTTATGTACCAATTGTC